ACGGGCTTGTCTCCCCCTCACTCGCCATGGCCTGCGGCGTGGGGGCTCGGCTCCTCTCGCCTCACTCCCACCTTGTTTCCTGCCAGGTTTATGTTCAGCACTTACTGAAGAAGAACAAGGAAAACGTCTGGAAGCTGGTTAATGAGGGGAATGCTCATATCTACGTGTGCGGGTAGGTCCGGTGGCAGGGAAGGGGCTTTGGGAAAACATTCCTATTCTCAGGAAAACAAGTGTGACTCAGTTTACCCACTTGTGCCTTACAAGCCCTGGGAGGGTTATGCTGTCCTTCCAGGGGAGGGCAAGTGGCCGGGCAGGTGGGCTGGGGTGAGCAAACCGTCCGTGTTCGGGTGTTGAGAGGCGACCAGGGCTCTGTGGCTCTGATGTCTTACTGCCTCGCTCACGGTCCCCTTGTTTCCAGCGATGCTCGCAACATGGCCCGGGATGTGCAGAACACCTTCTACGAGATCGTGGCTGAGTTCGGGAACATGAGCCAGCCCCAGGCCGTGGACTATGTAAAGAAACTGATGACGAAGGGCCGGTACTCTTTGGACGTCTGGAGCTAAGAGCGGGGCTGGCGGGGCCGGGGAGAGAACAGGTCCCCAGGCATGGGCCCGTGGGAGGTGGAAAGCCTGCTCGCCCACTGCTGCTGTGGGTGACGGCGTCGTCCCCAGCCCACAGCTACCCCAGTGTCACTCCCAACCCCTCCTGGGCCACAGCAGCCCCCCAGGGCGGGCTGTGTGCCCTGGGGGGTGGAAGGGGTTGAGAGGGGGAGGGGGGTAGCTCAGGCTGTTGTCCGGGAGCTGCGGTGCCCCCGGCACCACCTCGTGGCACCAGCCATGAGGTCAGGGACACAGCTGATGTGGGGCAGGAGGGACGGACGGTGCCGGGGGAGCTCGGGCTCCTTCCCTGAACACGAGGTGTTGCCTTATCCCCTGGGGCTGGAGACCACCCTGGCCTGCCGGCACGGGCAGCCTGGGGACGGCAGAGGGGTGGAGGAGCCGGCAGCCCCCTGCGCTGCGGGTTTGGTGCGAGGGCACGGCGTGGGGCAGCGATCTGTCCTCGCCTCCCTCCCACCCTGTTTGGCCATTTCTAGGATGCAGGGCTGGCAGCCGGCCCTGGGCACAGAGCTGCCCCACAGGCACCCCCCTTCTTTCCCCCCGCTGCCCGCCTTCGCTCCAGCACACAGCGGGGAGGGGATGGCTCCTCTCCCCTCTGGAAGAGACCTGGTCTTGGGGGGTCTCAGTCCGCAGGGGCCCTGCTTGCTCCCTGGGGTCCTGCAATGGGCAGCTCCCCTGTGCCCAGCCCCTCCCTCATGCTGTGTACGGTCATTTTTTAAATACTGTTTTTATTTTAACATCTTTGTGATTTAATCATGGAAAAAAAAAAAACCAACAACCTTTCAGGCTGTCCAATGACTGTAAATTATTTAAATACATTTGCCCTTGGAATAAAAATACTGTTTCTGTAGTTTGCCTCCTGCCCTCTCTTTGCTCAGCCAGAGGGAAGAGGGAGGCAGGAGGAGCCATGGCTGCTAACCAGGAGGAAACATGGGGAGCGGGGGCAGCTCTGGGTTTAGGCGGAGCTGGAGCTGGGGGCAGCCCCTACCCTGGGGTGCTGAGCCCCGGCAGGGCAGCGAGGACGGCAATGGGGGATGGATGGCTCTGGACTGAGGCACAGCTGTGCTAGACGTGCTGTTTGGTTCCCAGCACTTCAGGAGTTCCCGGTGGTAGTACAGGGCTTGGGTGATCAAAGCTCTGGCCACAGCCCGGGGCTGTGCAGGCCAGGGGGTGCTGCGGGAGGGAGCTCACAGCGCTGCCCTCCCGTCCGCACCGCGCCCTGCACCCCGGGCTGGTGTGGGGGCACCTGGAGATGGCTTTTCTTCCCTGCCAGATGAGCCAAAACCGCAGAGCAGAGTGTACATGCTGTTCTGGGACCGCCCCGGTGACCCGAGGCAGCACTGTCCCTTTATTTTTTACACGTGCATCCTCCAGAGATGCGAGACCAGGGCGCTGTTCGCGCAGCTCCAGCGTGAAGCCTGGTTCAGGCTCGTGGTGCTCCCAACCCCTCCAGTGCTGCAGCTCCTCCACCTCAGCCCCCCCTGCCCCGCGGCCTGAAGGTGAAGGAGGAACTGGGGTATGACACACCCTGGAAACCAGCACTTGGGCACGGCCTCCAACTGCCCTTGAAAGTAAAGAGGGGCTGCTGGGGCAGCCAGGGAAGCGATTGCTTGCAGCCTATGAGATGTGAGGGCCTCTTCACCTCTGCCCTCAACGTGCAGGGGCTGCCCTGGCTGCAGCGCTGGGGAGAGAAGGGGGAGAGCCTTGACCGCCCCAGGAGCTGTGCAAGAGGCAGCCAGTGGCCCTGGACCCTGCCTTGTCCCAAGGGAGTTGATGCAAGCCGGGCACCCCGGGCTGCCCCCTGCCCGCAGCGGGGTGGGGAGCGCTAGCAGAGCTGGGCTTGACCCCGGAGAACCATCCCAGTCAATGTCTCCGGGGCAGAGGGAAGGGGAGCCCCGCTCTCCTGGAGGAGGAAGGCAGACGGGACAGGAGTTGCAGGGTGCTCCCGACTCCAGGTGAGTGACTCGGGCACGGACCCAGCACCGCAGTGAACACGCGGTCTGTCCGTGAGCAGGCCCCAAGCTCTGTCCCACACCCAGGCTTCCAAGAACGGTGAGACACCAGAGTCCGGACGGCATCGAGGAGACGGGGATGGGAGATGGGGCCGGTGGGGAGAAACAGTCCTGGCCCCCACGCTGCCCCCCTTCAATTCTGCTTCGTGTCTTTGTTCTTGTTCTGAAACTTCTGGTGGACGACACGGAGGGTGGTGAAGAAGTTCCCCAGGAAGAGGATGAAGAAGGGGAGGCCGCACATGAGGACCTGCAGGAGCCGCAGAGGCACGAGTCAGCAGGAGGGACCTGCCTGGGGTGTCCCCCACCCCGGGGCAGCTGCCTGGGAGCCCCCCTTACCTGCCACTCCTTGCATTCCGGGTGCTGGATCATGCGGAAGAGGGTGACAGCGTTGTAGAGCTGCCAGAACTGCAGGAGAGAGGAGATTTAGGGGGAGTTTCTGCTTTCAGAGGCTCATCCAGCTGCTTCCTCTGGGCACAAACCCCACGCAGACCTCGCGTGAGGCCAGCCTGCCCCAGCACGCGGTGAATACCCCGTCCAGGCTCGGGGCCAGAGGACTCATCCCCAGAGGACCCCAGCTGGGACATCTCCCCCTTTCTTGCCACCTTCTGGAGCCCAACGGCCGGGAGGAAGCCTCAGACCAGCCTACTGCTTTTGGCCATCGGCCTAAATGCTCTGACCCAGGAAGAACTGGACCTTCAGCAGCAGCTCAGAGCTGAAGCTCAGAAGGGTTTTGGAAGGGTTCTCGGAGCCAGCCCCTCTGCTGTTATTTTGCACGTCACTTGAGCGCTTGGCAGAACTACCCCAGGTCCTCCCCATCTCACCAGCCGAGTCGTGGAGGTGGGTGGGTGCTTTGGAGGAAAAGAAAAGGCTCAGCATTTGTCGAAAGCATTTCCCTGCCCCTGGCATCCGTATCGCATGGCTGCAGCAGCTTGCGGGGACCTGTGGGACGTCCAGGCTGCCGAGCGCAGCCGGGAATACGGCATGATCCGCTCCCACCTGAGGCTCTGGCCTCTTGCAGGTCCCCGCAAGGATCGGTGCGCACTCACCTGCCCAAAGAAGAGGAAGGGAAGCAGGAACGTGAGGCCTCTCCACATCCAGGACTGGAAGCCCTCTGCAAAGGACGAAGGTTTGCACGGGGACCCGAGAACGTGCTAGCCAGGGGACCGGATGGAGCCCAGCTCCGGAGGTCACGGGCAGGGAGGTTTAGTGGCCACCCCGCGCCTGGCTGAGAAGGTCCTGCCGGGCTAACGCAGCCTGGCTGCGGGCGCTTGTACTCACTGGGAGGGAGGACTGCGGCAGGGATTCCTAGCCCTAGGCTAACGTGGACCTCTCTGGAGGAAGCTGCCCTCGCTCGCAGCTGCTGTGCCTCAGCCTGAACGCTCAGTGTCACAGGGGCCGGGGAGGTGACAGCCCACAAGTACGTGGGGTGTTGAAGGGAGGTTTTCTGCCCGTGAAGCAGCTTCCTGGGGGAAGCTCGGATGCCAGGAGCCACATCCACTACTACCGGCGGCCCCAGGAGAGCAGAAGGAAGGGGGCATCCAGCCTACAGGATGCTGCCGCCTCACGGGAGATGCTGCTTTCAGAGCTTTGGCTTTATTTGTAGCTTTTACCACTTCTGCCACCGATAAACCACAGTCAAACTAACCTCGAAACAAAAGTAACTGTCACCATTGCCTTTAACAGAAACCACAGCTCCCAGTTAGCTGGGCACCGGACTAGTGCTGGGAGGGAGGCCGCTAGCAGCCGCAGGCCCTGCGGCAATGGCAGGTCCACTTGGACTGGGACAATCGGTAAGGGAAGATCCCGGCTTACCCACAGTCAGATCCATGTTGTGCCTCTCGCCCAGCGCTCGCAGCCGGTACAAGCACCCGCTCTGATAGTAGTACTGGAGGAACTGCACAAAGCCTGCAAGGAGAGCGTGGCTCCCGTCAGCAGGTGCCCAGGCATCGTCCCCTGGCCCCAGCATCAGCCCGGCTCCGAGATGACGCTGCCCACAAAGACTGTCCCAGCGCCAGGGTGGTGGAAAGAGGCCGAAGGAAAACGCAGGTGAGCCGAGAGCTGTGAGCAGCTACAGCTGGGTCCCCACGTGTCGCAGAGCCGGGCAGGCACGCTCGGCACCCGAGGCCAGCCGCAGTCCCAGCCCCCTGTCCCGGCACACGTGGCAGCACTTACTCTGGTACATGGAGAAGGAGAGGAACTGGTTCCTGAACATCTGGTACATGAGCCCGTCCGGCCTGCGGAGAGACAATGCTGGCTGGGGGACGCGGGGCTGAGAGGGGACGCAGCCAGCCCTGCCTGCCACACGGCCGGGGTAACGGCGCTCTGCCTCGCCCCGGCTCCCACCAAAACGGGAGTTTGGGACAGCCCTTCCACAAGAATTGTAACGCAGGGGATCGTGTTTCCCAGCCCAGGGACCCTGCCTGCGCCGCCTGCCGCGCAAAGGTGCCGAGGGCTGCTTTTGTTTGGGGTGCTTGGGCCTGGAGAGGAACGTGTGGAGCCGACTGTTAGACCACAACATCCACGGAGCAGGACTACGGCCACGGGTTAGGGCAGTGAAGGCCCCTTCATCTGAGCTGGCCGCAGCCGCAGCAGGCCGGGGTCTCTACAGCCAAGAGACGGGGGGACGCAGACTTACCACGTCAGCATGACACCTGAGAGGAAGGTGGAGATGTAGTGATGGAAAACCCACCAGCCTTTGATTCTGGAAGGCAGACACAGAGAAGGCGCGTCAGGTCTTGAGCATGAATCAAGACCCAAACACGCACCAGGAGAGCAGCGGCAGCCCAGCGCCAGCCGCCCTCCAGCTCCCAGGGCAAGGCGAGGAGCAGGGCTGGTTACGAAACGGCCGTGCGTGGAGCAGGACCCAGAGCCTCCGGTCCAGGCGGCACCCAGGGGCCGGGGCCGCTCCAACCGCTGCTCCACCTTCCCGCACCACCTCCGCACGGGGAGTTCCTCCCGCCCCACTCCTACAGCTCATTACCAGGGTTTGCTACACACCCTGAGTAGGAGGGAGCTGCTCCCTTGGGAAGCACGGAGCTACGCAATAGTTCCCAACTCCCGGGCCTTGCAGAGAAAGGACCAACTCGCTGCAGGCCCCCCTCCCCGAGCCCAAGGGACTTACTTGGATCCGTTGTTGATCAAGATGCTCTCCCGGATGGTGAGGGTGCAGTAGTACCACACCAGGAGGAAGTTAAAGACAGCATCTGTCACCCTGGTGGGAAACAAAGCAGGATGTAAAGGTGGCAGCAGAGCCACTGCCCGTGCGCTGGGGGCACAGGCACCGAGACAGCCATCGCTGCAGGATGCCCACCCGCCCTGCGGGCAGGGAGACCTGCTTCTCCACCATCCAACATGGCCACAGCGAGACCGCAGCAGCCACAAAAGCCACCCCACCTCCAGGGCAGCGGCCAGATCCTTTGTCAGGATCTCCTGTTCAGCTCTGGACCTTTCAGGAGGGGAGAGGAGAACGCAGGGGCCCTGGGAGGAGATCTCTGCCCAGCATCCAAGCCGGACTCACCTGGAGTTGAGGAGGAACCGACAGGAGAAGGACACGATGAGTAAGATGATGGTGAGGTAGAGCTTGAACTTCTCATACTCATCTTTATATGCGAACCTGCAGGGAAGCACAAGGACAGGCTTGGAGCAAGGTAGCTGCTGGAAGTCTCTGTCCTCCCATTCCACCTGGCCGGACAAAAGTGATGCTCCGTTGGGAACCTGTGGGACATGCCGAGGAAAAACCTGGTCCCCTGGGTATTTCTGAGAGGAAAGCACAGCAGGCTGCTTTCACACAGGTGAGACAGCTTCAAGTCACCCCCAACCATGCCAAACCTGGCGGGTGGCCCAGAGGGCTCTGGGAAGCTGGGCAGGTTGGCATCTGCTCAGCTCTTCAAGGGGAGGCCTGGGGAACGGAGGGAGGGAGACACGGGCTCCTGGCTGGGCACCTCTGGCATTAGTGTCCCAGCGTGTGGGGCGCTCTCGTGGGCCAAAATCGGCCATTGGTGTTTCCCAAGGGAAGAGGAGGGGGCTCGCCAGTGGCTGCACAAGTCTGTCTCTCCTGCAAGTCCCTAACACGGGGGAAACCTGGACACAGCTTTGGTGGAGGATCCTATTTAGCTTGTCAGAGCTAATGGTCCGTCCCAGCCTGGTGGCAGGAGCGTAAGGGGGAGTCAAGGACTCAGCTGATTCTGGGAAAGGAAGCAGGGGACAGCCCGGGAAGGGAATCTGCACCAGGCGGGTCAAGCCAGCCACGTGTCTGCACGTGCGACAGCTCAGCCCGGGAGGAGCTGTTGTTTCCTGGTGACAAGGGGATCCCGAGCCAGGCAAAGCACACCGCAGCAGTGACGAGAGGGACGTACTTGGCCTGCTTGCTGAGCAGCGTGACGTTCACGTTCCCGAGCACCAGACTCAGGTACAACCTGGGGAGAGAGCAGAGGCGTTAGGATGGGCGCCTGTCCGGGAGCTGGCAGCGCTGCTGGGGAGGCGAGGCAGAGCCGTTCCCTCTCGTGCCACCGCTGAGGCCGTGGGGCCGGGAACGAGCCCCCAGCTGTTTTCCACTCGGAGCTGCCAGGCGGCGTGATTGGCACAAACGCTCTGGCATCTCCTCCCAAGGGCAGGGGGACAGGCGGCAGAGCACACACCCCTCCTCCAGCAGGCGCTGGGGTGTTTGCCGGGGCTCCCCCCCCGCGCACGGCCGCCGTTCAAGGGCAGGTGAAGGCCACGGGCAGGCAGAGGAGCGAGGGGGACGAGCGCAGCGCTGCAGAGGCTCAGCCTGGCTCCTGCCCAGGCGTCCTCCGGGGAGCCCGAGCGGGGCAGCATGGCTGTGACACTGCTGGGAGCAGGGTGACAGCAGGTTTGTCCTGCAGGGAGGCGGAGGGAAGACCTGGTGTTTAACCCAGAGGCGAGGTGCCTCTTACCCATTCTTCTTTGGCAGATAGGCCTCCATCTCAAAGAAAACGTTCTGCCTCTCTTTTATTAGGCTCTGGGTCTCTTGGATGGACTCCTCCTGTTCGGGACTCATGTGGGCTTTGCATCTGGGGAGGAAACACAGGCGCTGGCATCAGGATAGCCTCCGTAACACAATCAGCACGTGCTGGCACTTGATACAGGACTGTCTCCGACAAGGACACCTCAAGGACAGGGAAGATGGACTGGAGGCAAGTCCGCGACTCCATCTGCGGGGTGAGCTCCTCTGTCAGGCTGGGATGTTGCTCAAGAAAAGGAAGCAGGAATGAGAGCGAGGTGAGGCCAGACGGGTCTTCTCCTCGAGGAAGGACGGAGGGAGCTTTGTGTGGGACGGGGGCCAGTTCAAGTTACCTGCAAAGCCCTTGCAAGCTCTGAACTGCAAAGAAGGCTCAGATCGGGGCAGAGGAAAGGGAAGCTGAGGAAGATCTGCCTGGGTGAGTCCAGACCTCCACAGGACTTTGCTATCAGTGAGGCTGCAGTAACGTTTGTATTGGAGACAAGAGCTGTGAGATGAGTTCAACAGCCCTGTCCTTGCTGTTCTCCCCTCCCGCCCCGCGCCGTCGCAGGACACCAACTTACTTTTTGAGGGACAACGACAGCTCCTTCAGCCGCTTCTTCTGCCGTGCGATGGAGCTGGAGATCCCATCCTGGAGCTTGGTTAGCTCCTCAAGTTTCTGCTTGTACAGCTTGTGATTATCCTGGGAAGGAGAGACCGGCATGCATTACAGCTGCCTGCCCAGCTGTCCCTGTCCTTGGGTCCCCTGTGGGGGCATCTGTTGATGCATCTGTTAAAAATTGTCTCTAACTTCACCTGCACAGCAGGCTGGGTAAGACAAGAGGTGGTTGCAGAAGGCCAGGCATGTTTGGGGGCAGCCTGCGGCCCTCCCTGCTTCCGTGGGGGCAGAAGCAGCCGCTGGGGACGTCCATCCCCAATCCCAAGGAAGTTATCTACAGGTGCGGGCACCTCCCCACGGCACAGCCTGCTCCTGCTCTCGCACCTGGCTTGTGTCCGGCCCCAATCCAGCTGCGGGCTGTGAAAGTCCAGCCGGCAACACGGTCTCGCTCCAGGGATGCTCCCGTGGCTGGGAAACCATTGGCTGCGGCACAGGCGATAGGAAAGACTCGGGGTGAAAACACTGCTGGGGCCAGGGCTGCGACCGAGGGCCACAGCCACCCGGGAGCGGTGGCTTTGACTGCTGGGACGGGACGAGCGGCTCTCTCTGCCTGGAGGTTCGTGCAGCATCTGCCGCTGCCCCGACGCGTGGCTCTGGGGCTCCATCCCAAGCACCCCGGAGGGAAGCTGGAAGGAGCCCGTCAATGAGCCAGACAAAGGGGATGGACTTGCAGCAGGGCTGCAGCCAACTGCCCGGCTCCTTGTGCGGCGGTAACCCAACCGCACCTGGGTAAGGCTAGATGCCATTCTTCCGCTATATTTAGAAAGGAAAGGAGAGAGCGTGCTGGATCAGTGCTCCTTCTTGTCCAGGTCAGCTGGAAAACAGCCTCACCTCGACCACGGGCAGCCTGAATGCCACCTCCACCAGGGAATTAAATGCTGCTCCCAACAACCCTTGGACTAGACCTTGACACACCCACGTTTTAGCCTCCGTAGCTCTTATCGAGCACTTCAGCAGCAGATCTCAAAGCTGTTCCCAAAGGAGAAAGGTGAAACTGAGACTCAGAGGAGGGAAACAACTCCTTCTCCCTCTGCTGACAAGCAGCGGCAGGGTGGGAATGAATCCCAGATAGCCCTGGCTCCCCTAGCAGTGATTTATGGCCCCGACCTCTCACGGGACATTCCCTGCTCGACCATCAAGCTTTCCTGCTCCCATCTGGAGTCAGATCCTTCTCCTGCTCTGGAGTTAACTGAGAGCAAGCAGCTTTTGCGACAGCTCCTTTAGCGATGCCAGCCTGGGTCCCGCTGCTCCGTGCGCCACCCGAGCAGCACGCTCGGACACAGCCCGGATCAGGAGCCGCCCCAGGAGAAGGTTTCCAAAGGAAAGGGCCGTCACGGCGCGAGGGCCGGCAGCGCGCGGCTGCACGCAGGGTTCAAAGCGGGCGACCCAGGACATCCACGCAACCCTTATGGAGCAAGAGGAGGTTTCTCAAAGCCTCCCTTGCCCCAGATCTGGGCACAGCTGCGGCGTGTCCGCAACAACATCCGCTTCACCCCGCTCCTGGGGCCGGGGGGGGGAAGGAGGGGGAAAGGGAACTGGTGCGGCTGCAGCCGACTGATCTGAACCGCAGCAGCAGAGGGTTAGCCAACCTTTTCCTTGGGTGACCTCTGTCTGAGCTGAACCCTGCCCACTCCTTCCCCCAGCAGCGAGCGCCCTGGGGATTACACAAAGCAGGTGGAAACATCTCTGACACCAGTCACCTTCCCGGCACAGAGCCCCCAGCCAGCCCCAGGGGTGACGGGGCACCAGAGCAAGCGTGCCGGGGGTCGAGGGACACCTTGGAACAAGGCGCCCAGCTGTGGTGTGACCAGATTCCTGGCTGCCTCTGCTCCGCTGGCCAGTTCCCCTGCGAGGCTGGCTTTGGGCTTGCTGGAGCTGGGCTAAGAGCAGCAACAAGGAGCGTGAACCAGCATCTGCACGCCTCATTCCTGGCCGTGCCGTGCCATGCCAGGCAGCGCCGCTCCTAGCCTTTAAAAACCCGGAGATCTCGCATCTCCACGCCACGTCCTTCGCAGGCTGGATAATTAGATTGACCAGCCCTGGAAAGCCCCCGCTCTCTCCAAGCCCCCCCACCCCGCGTCCAGGCAAGGCTCGAAGCGGGTCCTTGGCGGTGCC